GAGAAGCAGGACCCCTCTGAGCACTCTGAGCCCTGGGGCCCTGTGTTACGGCGTAGGTAACACATCTTGGAAGCTGACACCGCACATCTGGCGGTGACTCAGTGGGAAGACTTACAAGGAAGGCAGTTGTGAAAAAGTCTTCCAACAGACAGGTGATAAATGTAGGAAAAATTTCCCCTGGAATTTAAATCTTTAAACACAGGAGAAACCATACCGGATAAAAACCTATAATTGTGGGGAGTGTGAGAAAGCCTTTATTCAGCATTTCCCCCTTTCTTGACATCAGAGAACTCACTCACTCTGGGGGGAAATTGTATCACTGTAGTAAGTGTGCAAAAACCTTTATCCAATGCTCTCATCTTCTTGTTCACCTGAAAATCCATGTTGGAGTGAAGGCCTCTAAATGTAAAGAATGTGAGAAAGCTTCCAGTGCAAGCCCTGGCCTTATTCAGTAATAGAGAATTTGCACAGGAGAGAAACCCTATGAATACAATAAATATTGAAGAGGTTTCCAGGTGAGTTAGCTCCAGCAAGGCCTCAGACTGCTCCTGTGGATAAGAAGTTCTACTAATGGGCTACCTATTTAGGCAAATTCATTAAGAATTTAGGCCTCTTTCAACAGATAATATATTTTGGAAAAGGATGCTATGGGAAGAAGCCTGAGAAAGAAGCATGTCCTCCAGACATGGCAAATTTTTTCCAATGTCAGACCCTTATATAGAGATGATCCCTTAAAATAGCCATTTCTATGGTATCTTACTTACTCATGAGTGCTGAGTATAGAATTGTGGAATCGTGTTATATACCTGAAACTAATATTACACTGTATGTTAATGATACTTGAATTAAAAAAATAAAGGGATATGAATTAAAAAAAAAAAAACACCTTTTCTAGCCAAACCCTCATAAACATTCTTTGCCGTGTGCTACACACCAAGTTTAAGGTTTAACTATGGTCTCTGGATGAATAACTGTTGGTCTGGAGAATCCTGAATCTTTACCTCATAATCTTATAACTGCTGACAAGTTATTTAACTCCTTTATGCCCAGAATTTTTTCAGTAAAATGTGGATAACAACTACTATTTACCAAGGATATCATGAAGATAAAAGAAGGTAACAAGGCATTTTGGATATATGTATTCTTGTGCTGATATAAGAAAGTTGTACTACACTGAGTATTGGCTGTGCCAAATTAAAAAAGACCAAAATAAGGAGTATGACTATGAGAAGAGAAATAACAAGAATAAAATACATACTAAAACCTCACAAATATCACTTGAGAAACACATTACAATTTTTTCCAGAATATGAACGAAAATCTTCTCCCAAAGTATAGATTATAGAATGTTTGTTATTAGGCTTTTATTAAACTTGCAGATTCAGGGCGCCTGGGTGGCTCAGTAGGTGAAGCCTCTGCCTTCGGCTCAGGTCATGATCTCGGGGTCCTGGGATTGAGTCCCGCGTAGGGCTCCCTGCTCGGCAAGGAGCCTGCTTCTCCCTCTGCTCCTCCTCCCTGCTCATTCTCTGTCTCTCTCCCTCAAGTAAAATATTAAAAAAAAAAAAAAAACTTGCAGATTCAGAAGACATAAACTTTACTGTCTTTGCAACCAAATATTTTTTCTTTTAAAAATGTGGAGGGGCACCTGGGTGGCTCAGTCGTTAAGCGTCTGCCTTCGGCTCAGGTCATGATCCTGGGGTCCTGGGATCTAGCCCCGCATCGGGCTCCCTGCTCAGTGGGAAGCCTGCTTCTCCCTCTCCCACTCCCCCTGCTTCTGTTCCCTCTCTCGCTGTGTCTCTGTCAAATAAATAAATAAAATCTTTAAAAAAAAAAATGTGGAGTATCAGTGCTTTCAGATGGGGAAAAAGGAGTTATGATATTTTAAGACTTTTTTAATTTCAGGAAACAAAACAAAACTTGGGTCTATAAGAAGTTATGTTTAAGACTGAGAAACTTTGCATTGATATGAAAAGAATAAAGGAGGAATCATTTTTAAATCCAATTTTGTTATATACCATGAATTAAAAATTCTATTTTATCATGATTATTATTAATCAAAAAGCTAATGATATGGATAGTAAGATTTGGAAAAATAGATTTCATGTCAGGATGAGTCCATTTCAAGATGCTGACATTTAAAAAATAGTTCTTGGGGAGGGGAAAAATATAGTTCTCTAAATTTTTTTATTCAGATATAATTGACATCTAACATTGTATAAGTTTAAGATACACAACATTGATTTGATACACTTATATATTTCAATATGATTAGCATTAGCTAACACCTCCATCATGGCACGTAATTATTTTTTGTGATGACACATTTAAGGTCTAATCTCTCAGCAACTTTCAAGTATATAATAGAGTACTGTTAACTACAATCGCAATGTTGATTAGATCCCCAGAACTTATTAATTTTCTAACTGCAAGTTTGTACCCTTGACTGTCTTCCCAATTCCTCTACTTTGAGTTGGTAACCACTATTCTACTCGTTTTTACAAGTTCAGCTTTTTTAGATTCCACATATAAGTGGCATCATACAATGTGTCTTTCTTTGACTTATCTCACTTAATACAGTACTCTCAGGTTCTATCCATGTTGTCACAAATGCCAGGATTTCCTTCTTTCTCATGGCTGAATAATATTCCATTGTACTATACTTCATTCATCTATCAATGGACACTTAAGTAGTTTCCACATCTTGGCTATTGTGAATAATACAATAAACATGGGAGTGCAGATATCTTTTTGATACCCTGTTTTCATTTATTTCCTTCAGATATATATATATATAGAAGTGGGATTGCTGGGCCATATGATAGTTCTATTTTTTAATTTTTTGAGAAACCTCATACTGTTTTCCATAGTGGCTGCACCAATTTACTTTCCCACCAACATTCATAAGGGTCCCTTTTCTCCACATCCTCCAACACTTGTTATTTCTTGTCTTTTTGATACCAGTCTTTCTGACTGGTGTAATATTTCATTGTGGTATTGATTTGCATTTCCCTGATGATTTGTATCTCTTGGCCATCTGTATGTCTTCTCTAGAAAAATGTCTATTCACCTCCTCTGCCTGTGTTTTATTTTTTTTTTATTTAAGTAAGCTCCATACCCAGTGTGAAGCTGGAACTCATGACCCTGAGATCAAGAGTTGCATGCTCTACCGACTGAGCCAGCCAGGCACCCTGCCTGTGTTTTAATTGGATTGTTTTTGTTGTTATTAAGTTGTATGAATTCTTTATATATTCTGTCTTTTTATTTTTAAATTTAATTTTTTTAAAAAAGATTTTACTTATTTATTTGACAGAGAGAGAGCACAAGCAGGGGGAGCAGCAGAGGGAGAAGCAGGCTCCCCGCTAAGCAGGGAGCTCAATGCGGGGCTCGATCCCAGGACCCGAGGATCATGACCTCAGCCAAAGGCAGATGCTTAACCGACTGAGACACTCAGGTCACCCCTATATTTTGTCTTTTTAAAAAAAATGTTGGGGCACCTGGGTGGCTCAGCTGGTTAAGTATTTGTCTTCGGCTCAGGTCATGATCCCGGGGTCCTGGGATCGAGCCCCGCGTCAGGCTCCCTGCTTAGTGGGGAGTCTGCTTCTCCCTCTCCCCCTGCCCCTGCTCACCCCACCGCTTGTTCTCTCTCTCTCTCAACTAAATAAAATATTTATTAAAAAAAAATTTTTTTTAAGTAGGCTCCACACCCAGCACGGGGCCTAAACTCACAACCCTGAGATCAAGACCTGAGCTGGGATCAAGAGTCAGACACTAGGGACGCCTGGGTGGCTCAGTCGGTTAAGCGTCTGCCTTCAGCTCGGGTCATGATCCCAGGCTCCTGGGATCGAGTCCCGCATCGGGCTCCCTGCTCCGCGGGGAGCCTGCTTCTCCCTCTGCCTCTGCCTCTCTATCTCTCATGAATAAATAAATAAAATCTTAAAAAAAAAAAAAGTCAAGACACTAAACTGACTTGAGCCACCCAGGCATCCCGAGTTCTTTATATATTTTGGATATTAACCTCTTATCTGATAGTTTGCAGATATTTTCTCCCATTCTGTAGGTACAGAGTTGGGGGGTGAGGTGGGCAAGGAAAGAGATGAATACAGCAACTATCATAAAGGAATTTGGACTGAACAATGAGTAACAATAGGTATCAAAAGTGGAAGAAGGTGAAAATAAGAAATATTGCGGATGGCAGTAGAAAGTAACAGAAAAATAATCTTTTTTGTTATTATTATTTTATTATTATTATTATTTTTTAAAGATTTTATTTATTTATTTGAGAGAGAGAGCACACGAGAGGGGGGAGGGTCAGAGGAAGAAGCAGACGCCCCGCTCAGCGGGGAGCCCGACGTGGGACTCGATCCTGGGACTCCAGGATCACGACCTGAGCCGAAGGCAGTCACTTAACCAACTGAGCCACCCAGGTGCCCCAAAATAATCTTTTTTAAAGATATTTTTTATTTTGAGAGTGAGCGTGGGGTATGGGGTGGGGTGGGTGAGGGGCAGAGGAAGATGGGGAGAAGCAGACTCCCCGCTGAGCACAGAGGCCAACTTGGGGCTTGATCCCAGGACCCTGAAATCATGACCTGAGCTGAAATCACGATTTGGACGCTCAACCAAGTCACCCAGGTGCCCCAAAATAATTTGTTTTTAACTGTAGTCAGAACAGATGAAAATATACTGAAGTTAGAGGGAATGGGGGCAATGAGGAGATAATACTGAAGAGGAAAGATCTATATTTTAGAATGATTTGTGACTTTTTAACTAAAGACAGCAGGGACTAAAGGAAAAACTAAACAGGGTTAGATGAGTCTGAAAGATTAGGTAGATGACATAGATTCCATTACAAGGGCACAGTAAAGAGGTACAAAATGGCTTTAAATAATCAGGGAAATTCAGAAAAGGTCATTTTAAGGCAAAAGATTAAGTTCTACTTTACAGAGCAAGTACTAAATGTACAGTAGAAATTAGGCCACGATATTACATATGACGAAAATATAAACAGGTTTAAATAAAGATAAATTTTATTTTATGAGAACAGTCTGAAGAGGTTTTTAAATGAAGTTGGGAATGCTGGTATACAACTTCCTCCTGAGGCTGATAATAGGGAAGACAGCATTATGTTATTCTGTATCATGTCCTTTGTTAGTGCTACCTAAGTGGGAATGTGATACTTGAGAGGATAGATATTCAGTCTGATTCAGCATGGCGTTTCTACGTTTCCGGTGTTCCTAATGCTTTTCAACCTGGATAGCTAGCAGAACTTTCAGCCACCCTCTCTCACCTTGCTCATGAATGGCCTGGAATTCTAGATACTTCACGGGCTGGAGTCGTTGGTGGCTTCTACGCTGCGTGTGTGCTCTGAACGTACTCGCATGCCACATGTCCTGGCTACGGCCTGCAAACAAGATATGGTCGGGTTTGTGAAAGACTCAATGAGTGAACCGGAGTTATTATCTCAGAAGGACGCCTTAGGGGACAATTCTCAGGGCACAGAATAGAGAAAAATGGACGCACAGTCTATTCCACCTTCAAGAAGTAAGAAACAAACTAGAAAGCATGAGAGAATGGGAAAGGCTGACACTAATACTTCTGGCCTGGCTGAGTGGAGCCTGAAGCTTTGTAACCTTGCTCCCACGGTTGTCCGGATGCTTCTCTCCCTCGCTAGATATTAACTCATTTAATCACACCTGCTGTCCTGTTTCATCAAGCGCTCCCTCCAACCCCCCCCCCCCATCGCTGCCTCCTCTGGTCTTTGGCTGATCCTCTAATTTAGACCTGGAGCTCCTGGGCACGATGATGAGGATCTGCTCCTTGGTGCGGCATCAGCCACTGACCGCAAAGTTCCTAGAGTTGGTTCCGAGCCTCCCAGGGTCCAGGGGTCTCCCGGTAACAAAACTGCCTGAGGTTAGGACTAGCATCTACCGCCTGGTTGTTGGGAGTTCTTCCTGCACAGCGCACGTTCTCAGCTCCCAGGGCGGTCCTCCTCTCCCTTTGAGATCAACAGCCAAGGCTGCCTCCATTACGGGCTCTCACTGCTTGAGCAAACTTACTTCACAGTTCCTGCTTCAAGGAGACGGTGTCGGGGGTGAATTTTTTTGGCTACTCCTAAGGCAAAACAAACCATTAACTTACAGAAATGCACAAGGGCGCCGAACACTTCTGCTGAGGTTAAAGCTGACTAGTCATCTTGAAACTCTGAGGGGGCACCTGGGTGGCTCAGTCAGTCGTGTCGCACTCTTGGCTTCGGCTCGGGTCACGATCTCGGGTGGTGAGGGCTCAGCGCTGCGTGGAGTCCGCTGGAGATTCTCATGCCCTGCCCCGCCAGTCCCCCCAAATACATAAAATCTTAAAAAAAAACAACAAAAACCACCTCGCTGAAAGATTAATTCCAAGGGAAAACGACAATCCCGGTGAAATTCGTCACGTGTGACGGAAAGCACAAACTAGGCCGGTCAAAAGTTGTAACACGGAAAGATCGTGGAAGGAAAGGAAAAATACCAACCAAACACGCCGCTGTTTTGCGGCACAAGCAAATCCAGAGAAGACGTCGGATCCTGGCCAGAAAACGGGCACCCCGAGCGCAGACGTTCCCCCACAAGAAGAGGCAGGTCTGAGGGTCCGTGGGGACCACACGCCCATCCCTCCCGCGGGGCCCGCGCCGCCGCTGTCGTCCGGGAGCCCAGGACTCGCACAGCCGGCGCCGAGGGGAGCGAACACAGGCGAACCGGGCGCGCTCCGGGGCCGTCAGGGCGGGCCGCGGCCGTAGCCGCCGGCTTCTTCTCGGAATTCTGTTCCTGAACCTCAGGAGCAGCCCCAGGGAGGTGAGAAACGGGCGCTGCGGGCATCAGTCTCGGCCGCGACCCGCCTCAGGCCCCGCAGCGCCCCTCGCCGCCGCCACACAACTCGGCCGGAAGCTGCGTAGCCACCACGGGCGGAAGCCGGCCGCTTCCGGCCTCTCGGCAAGATGCTGTCGGTGGTAACCTCCGCGCGGCCTCGAGGGGCGGCCACCCGGGGCACAGCGCCGCTTCCGGCCTCTCTGGGAGACGCTCCTCTCGGTGGTGGCCTCCGAGGGGCGGCGCTGCGGTTTTGAGTTGCGTGTGGTCTTTCACCTTCTGAAAGGCTAACGACGTGCAAACCCCGTCCCCCACTTTTTTTATTTTATATATATATATATATATTTTCCATGCAGAACGTGCCCTCTTCAATACCCATCACCAGGCTAACCCATCCTCCC